TGCTTTGTGGCCAGAAGTTGTCTGGACCTGATACCTGTACAGATGTCCAGGTTTCAGCTTCCCCTCATTGTCCATAAAATCCAGCTGTTCTGAATTTTCCTTGACGGTACTTTTTCTAATACGATAAGGGCATTTTATTTCACCTATGCTGGCCCCGCAGCAGTTGCAGGACACTAACGCATCAGGGCTTGCTCCAGTATGAAGACAGTGAAACTGATGAGTCCACTCTGTTGCACAACTAGACAGCTGTGCTCAGCTGCAACAGACTTCCTGTACTGCTCCAGAGCAACTCTTTCATGATCGCATCCCCACCTTGTAGCTTTTGTTGAAAATCTCTTTGTTCCACCACAAATATTTGACACTTCTTTTAGCGGGCGTGGTCTCCTCTTTGGTCTGCCTCAAAAATTACTCCGTAAGCTTCAAAGGGTTCAAAATTCAGCTGCCCACATCGTCACCAAAGCCCCCTCATTTCAACACATCTCTCAAGTTTTACAGCAACTTCACTGGCTTCCAGTCACTTTCAGAATTCAATTTAAAATCCTGTTGTACACATTCAAGGCCATCCATACCCCCCCCCCCCCCCCATCTGTCCCATCTCCTGCACATGATCACCCATTCACGCTCCCTTCGTTCTTCCTCTTCCATCCACCTTAACGTGCCTCTCGTCCGCCTCAGCACCGTGGGACACAGAGCCTTTCCTCACTCTGCCCCCCAACTCTGGAACGCTCTTCCCCCAGACATCCATAATACTGACTCCCTTCAGACCTGCAAATCACAACTCAAAACTCATCTGTTCAAGTTCACCTTCTCACTTTAATTTCTTACTTTCTTCTTGGTTTAGTGTTTTATAGCAATTTTATATTATTTTATTTTGTGTTTTTAATGTTGTGACGTGTCCTTGGGTGTCTTGAAAGGCGCTAACCAATAAAATGTATTATTATTATCGTTATGGTTCCCAACACACAGATTTCATTTGTGATGCAATAATTCTGCCATGGTGCAGCACATTCCACTCCTTTGTTTAGGACTGATCTTTGGTCACTGTCTCCATTTGCAGATTGTTCTGCTGTTATGACCAAAGTGTCGCACAGAGTTCTGCATACATTAAGCAACTCTTTGATACTGATACTCGTCATGCTGCAATGTCCCGAGTGAGACCGGAAGACGTCCCTCCTTCAAGATTTCTGGTTCGTACCTATTTTGAACACCAGCCATAGCAGCTAACACAGCTGGCTTGGATCCCACAGCAGCAATCTTGTGCTTAAAAATGTCCATCACTTCATCTGTTGTTTCTGGAGCTGAAAACTTCAGTGCAGACCAGTTGGTTGTTGTGCATCACCACTACTCACCATGCTGTCAAAGTTTCTCTTTTTGATGTCTGCAGAGATTAAGTCGCTGTCTTTGACTTCAGCGTATTCCACCTTATAAACCTTATGATGGTATGGCCCAGTATGTCTTCTTCTGTGTGAGTTATGGTGGCACTGGCACGGTAGTTGCTGTCGACCCAGTATAACAGGGCCCCAACATGACTACAGAGCTTCCCTAGTCCGGTTATGTCAGGATCTGCCAACTGGTGTGTTGAGCCCACGTGCAGGAGGACGACAGCGGACTCGAGATAAAAGTTAAACAAGATTTCTACCTGGATTATTGAGCATGCATCAGGATATTTAACAAGATTTATTTACAAAAACAAAATGAAAGAGCTAACAGAGCAGACAGGACGGGAGGCAGTACTCAACACCATAAATGACAATCCGGAGACAAATTAGACGCAGGTGAGACAAGGCCTGGACACAAGGAGGAAAGACACCGAGAGGTGACTGGAAATATGAGGAAACAGACAAAGACGAGACAAAAACCCAGAACCTCTACAGGTTATGTCACAATGAGCAGAGTCCACAACTCCATCTTTACAACTAATGATCCATGGTCGAAGTGGAGTTCATCCTCTGGGAGTGCTGCACCTTCAACAGAAATATAATACAAAGTACTAAAACAATTAAAATGCAGTTCTTGTTTCAGGGGTTGTAAAACAGCATTTAGCCCGTGGATAAAGTCCAAAGAGTTACAAAAATGTAATTTTTCACCACTACCGGTAATTTTATTAACAAAGGCAATAATAGTGCAAAAATAATAATGTTGTAATACTATTTGAAATATCAGTGGTATTTACTGTAGCACATTAATTGTTATGACTGTGCAATAATAACAAATAATTTATTTTGTTACCACTAATTTAAGTATAAAAAGTACTCATAGGCAAAATAAATAGGAATATCAGCGATATTTACTGCAGCATTAGCTTAGCTATTCCGCAAGCTATGAGGGACATCTATATGTGTATATTATTGTAATTACTCTGATAGTAACCAGAACTGTGTTATTCACATGAAGAGTTCAGACGTCCTTCACAAATCCGTTAAGATGGTTCAGATGTATGGATTTCAGGCTGCGGCCTCCACTGTGGCTCCCCGTGTTCATTAAATAATTAATTATAACACAGTAAGAGATTAGTGGCAACCTGTCCCCACCGTCTGACATGTCTTTCTCTACCTCATTCGTGTCGATTCTGACAGCAACAATGTTCTGCATACAGCAGTGCTTGAAAGTTTGTGAAGCCTTTATAATTTTCTATATCTCTGCATAAATATGAGCTAAAACATCCGATTTTAACACAAATCCTAAAAGTAGATAAAGAGAACTTTGTTAAATGAGACAAAAATTTTACTCTTTAAGTCATTTATTTGAGGAAAATGATCCAGTATTATATATCTGTGAGTGGCAAACGTATGTGAACCTGATGCTCAATCCACGTAGATAAATCTAACAAAGTTAAGTCAGGTCCTCTGGATGGAAGCTGCTTCTTGAAGCGTTTTGTCTTTCATCCCAAAGACTTCTTCAGTCTCAGGAGCTCAGTCTTATATAGCACCTTCTCATGGTGGATCAACCAGTATGAGTTTTGAGTTTGAGTTGTGGAACCACCAGAGCACCAGCAAACTAATATACTTGTTTTATCCAACCTGGTATTTTCAATGTCTTGTGTCCTCTCCTGATTGACCTGCTGACATTAATAATATTTTAGAGCTCTTCTAAACCGCAGTGCATTTTTTTAAAGTCTCACCTCATTTACTGGAGTTCCCAAAAAACTACAGGTAAATGAGGTTTGGATTTAATGTGTAAAAGGGTAAAAAGCTTTGCAGTCCTAATTTTGATGAACTGATTGTTTTTCTGAAGGAAAATACTTAAATACCCATACAAATACAGACGAGAGACAAAAATATAAGAAAATGTTCCACTTCTTTTTGAATGTATTAAAACATGCTGATAAAATAATCACTAAACTGAGATTACGTCTGTGTCCTTCAATAACAAGCACGTTTCATCTCATTTATTTATACGTTTGTTTTTCTTGTTATTTTAGGTATGTCAAGGGAATTCAAAAGGAATGTCCTTGGTCAGTGTAACCAGCACGTTTTATTGTTTGCTCACTGAATTCATTTGGCCATCAGCCGTCGTGGTGACGTTCAAAACGTTCCACAGGATTCAGATTTTTCTGGAACAACTGTTCTAAATGATTTGATCGCCTGAACGTTCCAGTTTCCACCAACAGATTAAAATGGATGTACCTTGATGTGTTCATCACATCACACAGTGGGAGCTGGTGCTGCCTCCAGTGGACAAATCGGTGTCCGTTAATAAAACTTTCAGAAAATGAACAGCTGCCTGTACTTCAGCTGATCAACTTGTAGAGCCAGCTCAATTAAAGGTGACCACCACAGAAAACTGCTCTGTAAAAGAATAAAAATTTCTACAACTGTCAATTTTACAGTAAATTAGCTTTTTTTTTTTTAAAGATCACTCATCAACACATACTCTGAGCATCCCACCGTGCGTTGTGGCACAAGGTCGTGCAGTTATTTTCCAGGTTTCAATAAGCGGCTTTACCGCCGTCATGCCTCAACATCAGATGATCACAGTTTAAAACTGAGTGGAAGGTGGTGGGTGATACACCTTAAAGAGCTTGTAAGACTTTTTTTAAATTATTTAAATAAAAGGTTTAAATCAATTGTTTTTCAGAATCCTTTTCAATTAAATGGTTGGGATGTTTTTTTAGCGAGGATTACCAAATTTTGCACGGAGAGTTGTTTCCTAGTTTTTTCGTTTTGTTTTCAGAAGTGGTTGGACACAACGAGGTCACTGAAGATGAAATATGATCATATCTGCTGCATCAACTGCAAGACAACAGGCTGAGAAGCATTACACCATATGTTCACATAATTAAGCAAAGCTGATTTCACCACAGTAACTGTATGAAGTCGATGCTGTCAGCGTGCTGTCCCATGGGACAGTCATGACTAATAACTCTGCACTGGATTGAGTGTTAAAATGTTCAGTCTGCTCTGGCCATATTAAGCTCATTGTAATAACTCAATACAAATGAGACCGTTTTAATATCAAAATCATAGTCCAGATGTCTGAATGTTTCAATTTTTACAGAAACACCAACAGACCTGCTGTCAGTTTGTTGCTGTGCAACGTGGCTGCACGCAGGAGGGTGGGGGTGGACAGACATTACCACCAGGTGTGGATGTTCTCAACTAGGGATGTCTACTTGCAACTGGACGTATATTTCCAGATATGAACAGCACCTTAGTTTGTAGAGGAAGGGATTTGGGCCAAAAGGAACTCCCTCCTGGTTCAATTCTGATCCTTTGAACCGAGATCTGACTGAAGGTAAATAAACAAATATTTTAAACAAAAATGATAGAAAAATAAGTCAAAGCAAACATTTATTCATGTAGAAACCTCACAGTTAATCAATAATCTTAATTCATTTATACAACAAAAGAAGAACTTAGTTACTTTAAATCTTTTTAAGTTAAAAAAAAGTATTGCAATTATATTTGTTCTAATATTTGCATATAAATAAATGAAAGAAAGAAAAAAGACACTGAACACACAATTAACTATTGAGGACCTGAAATTATGATTCTTTTTTAACAAACTTTAATTATTGACAATGAATCACTGAAAATACTAAAAAGAAATGTTATTTACAAAGTTTCAAATCATTTGTTCCGATACAAAATTCATATTTCTATAAATCCAACCCACCTAAACGTAAACCAAATCATACTACGGCAGCCTACTGATGTCATTGTTCAGCTTTTACCTTCAACTAAAAGTAGACCAAACTTCCCCCATCAGCACATTTGATTTCATGGGTCCACACAGACTAGAACCAAGTGAAAGGACTGGCAAAGGTAACAGCTGGTGGTTTGTCAGATCACTCCCAACCCTCCAAAATCAACAACCAATCTCATCCTTACAAGCTGTAGGACAAAGACTGACATCCGAGGTCAGCTTCGAATTTAAAACACACTGTCCAGTTTAAACAGACTGTTAATGCTGCGTCTTCCTCAGTTACTGTGAACCAGAGTGACAAACAGAAAAAGTGAGCAGAGTGAGATGGCACCAGTCAGCACAGCTTTCACCAGCAGGACTGTCCAGCTGCCCAACACGAAGACATGGATGAACAACCTGAGGGCAGAAGAAGGACGAACATTTTGTAAGTGATGAAACACTAGGACTATCAAAACAACGTGGCCAGGGTGTACCCTGCCTTTGATGGCTGGATATGGACCAGAGACCCCCATGACCCAAAAAGGAAAAAAGCAGGTAAAGATGATTGATGGATGTGATTTGTAAAAATCTGGTTAAGTGTCTTGCCCTTCAACATGTGACAGCTGGTGGTGTCAAACCCCCAACTCTCCCATTGGACAATGACCGCTCTAACCACTCAGCCACAGTGGCCCCTTAATACTACACCCATAATTTTAATTGGTTAACTCATTTCTCCTTTAAACTTTGTTCCTAATGAATGTGCTCAGTGTATTTCTTTTAAACACATGAAACTTACTCCATTAAGAAGGCCTTGTATACACACAAAGACAGCAGCACAGTCACCGGCAGCCTGAAGCTCTTAGGAAGGTCGTATCGGGTGAACATCCATACAACTGCTGCTGTGGCGATGTAATGGACCTGAACAGACAAATAGTTGATATACTGTCAAACACAAACAGTTCCCATGACATGCACAATCACATTTAGCTAAAAATGGCATATTCAGAAAGGAAAACATTATTGGCATGAAAAACATTAAAAGGCAATGTAAAATGAAGGATCCAGGAAATGAAGATTGTAGAAGAGGTGCAGCTTCTCACCAAACTAATATTGGAGTCAAAGCTCATCTGAATGTACTTCCAGTCAAACTCAATCCCTCTGGCTCCAACCCAGAGAGGAAGAAACCTGAGGAACCACAATGAGACACAAATGAAAAGATTTCATATTTACACAGGCTATTATCTAACAAAAGTAAGGTTTCTGAGCTTTTCTTTTCCATAAGACAGTTAAAGCTAACCTTGACATCACAAGTTCTGCTGTTGCCCAGCCCATAGCAGCCACCATGATCTTGTATTCTCCTTTCCCAGCATTACGAGACATAACAAGATGGAGACCCAACAGGTCTGCAAGGTCCACTGTAGCCTTCATGAAATCCTGATAAACAAACACACACACACACACACACACAAATATAAACAGAAGCACAGTCTTTTCTTTCACCTACGCGACAGAAATATTAGCATTCCTCACTGATGTTGATACTATAATAAAGTTTCAACACTCACCCCTACAAAGTCATAAACACCCATTCCACCTTCCCATGTGGGGAAAAATGTAGCAAGGAACAGCATCTATAAAACAAAGATAATCAAACCTTGTTCAAATATGCTCAGACATAAAGACAAGCATGTGATATTCCTATTTCTGTTGTCATTTCTACTTAAACTCATAACAGTCAAAAAATTACATTGAATTAGCTAATTTACCTTGCAAAGTTGGACAAACAGGTATGTTGCTCCAGCTTGGACACATCTCCAGAAAGCATTGTACTCTGAGCTGAATATGACAAATTAAAAAAGCCCACGTAAAATATTACATACAAAACACAAAGTTCAAAGTGTCTCAGTTCAATGTCAGATTTAAGATAATTTTACTTCAGTGTGAGGTGCTTTAAAACACAAAGGCAGTTTACAGTAAAAATAAAACACTACTAAATGAACATACAGCCAAAATATAAAGCACACTACAAAGATTTAAAAGGATTAAATGGACCCTCTCCCAAACCCCGACATTTACTAATCAGATTAATGGAGTTTATGGTACTAGAGCAAATACTAATACTGCAACAAAGCAATATATAAACCAGTGTTGTGTAAAACGCATTATAGGTTTCTTTTAATATCTTAAACTCCATATTTTAATTTTAGACATTACTTTAAAAACTAGTTTTTGTTATGACTGGGCAATCATTACAAATACAATAAAATTAGACACTCACAGGCCACTGCACTTGTATGTAATGAAGTATGGAAAATAGGCCAGAGCAAAGCAGTTCCCAAAGTGAAAAAGTGTCATGACTCCTGGTAATAAAAATCAGGTTCCTGGACAGAAGTGAAAAACAGAAATGAGAAAAACACTTTAAAACTACACGTGTGTATGAATTTACTTAGGATTTTAAGTAAACAATTACAGCTAAATTAAAAAATGCCTAAATATAAAAACTAATTTACATACACGTAAACGTCTTAATATGTATATTCACATCAACACTTACAGAACAATTAATTATTTTAATGTCATTTAAGAACAAGCCCAATCTTCTGTGCATGAGCTAGCTAAGCTATGCTTAACACGATGCTACATTTAGCAGCTAACGCCGCTTTTCTCTCGGAAAAGAACCAAAAAACAACGTTATTTTCTTAAAAATCAACATATATTCATCATGGCGACACCTGGAAACAAAAATGGATTTAATGTTATGACTTACTTCTTTTAAAAAGTAGAAAAAATTTTCACCGTAGGGAAACGTAGGGACGTTGAATGACAACCCAGAGTGAGCCGAGCCTGGGCTTCCCCGCGAAATACATCCGACCAAAACAGAAAACGAAAAAGGTTCCGCGTAATTTATACTGTTCATTTTATTTAATTTATTTTTAAATTAAAAATAATAATAATTGGGGGGTGTATTTACTCGCATTTTTATTTGAACAGCTGCATTTCTGTCGGTGGAGGCTGAGGGGGTTTAAAGTTTTATCTGTACATAAAGATAATTGTACAGTAATTTTTTTCTAAGCTTTTTTTTTATATTACTTTTATTTAAATCCTTTTACTACAGTTTTGTATGTTAAATGAGGAACCAGTTTGCTATGTGAGATTTAAAATTAAAAACTGTTCCAGAACTTGCTTACTGACTGATATTATTATTAATAATAATATTAACAACAACAACAACAACACAACAACAACAACAACAATAACAATAATAATAATAATAATAATAATAATAATAATAATAATAATAATAATAAATATTGTTGTTGGTGTTGTTGTCATTGTTATTATTATTATTATTATTGTTGTTGATGTTGTTGATGATGATGATGATTATGATGATGATAATAATAATAAATATTGTTGTTGGTGTTGTCATTATTGTTGTTGTTGATGATGATGATGATGATGATGATGATGATAATGATAATAATAACTAATATTAGAATCATGGAAATTTCCATTCAATAAGTCAGCCACGTCAGTTAAATCTGCTTATTCATTGTTACCGCAATAGAATCAACATCTTACTTTTGATCCAGTTCTTTCTTCTTCTTTTTATTTTCCCATCATGATTTTTTACTTGTTTTTTTTTTTTTCATGCAGCTCATGATGCACAACTTTGATTCTTGATAGGAATCACAAAAACCACTTGGGTGTCTAGTTTATATTACTTTGTTGCTTCCAATCTTTGATGATCACACAATTCTGTTTTTAAAAGCGTTTTATTCTATTTATCTAATCTTTCCTTTTTGAACATTCATAAAATTTTGAACTAAAAAACATATAAAATTGACTTTTACTCTTTGTTTTCTTACCTAATAAAATTATGACAATTAGTTCCATAGCTCGCATGAGGCTGGACTGAGTGTGTGTGCACGTGTGTATGTGTGTCCCTTGAGTCCTGACACCAACTCAATTACATGGTGGCCTTTTGTACTTAGATGTATGTGTGTGTGGGTCTAGGCGAGGGGCTTCAGGACACCCACCTCGCTGCTTTGCGCCGATCGGTCCTGCCCTGGGCTGCCCACAGGATGCCGGGCTGCTTTGATGCCTTTCTCAGCACAGATACACGCACATTCAGCACACAGACATCTAGTAAGCTCTCACAAGATCTTGTAATCTTTGTTAAGAGTCTGACCATCAGCAAGCAGTCTTCTTGTCAACTTCTGCTGCCCAAAGTCGTGCTCAGGTTTACATAATTCATCTTGAGTTGAGACAGTTGAAATATTGTCTGAAAACTTCTCAAATTCTCTCCAAGGAGTGTTGAGCCACTTGATGTCCTGTGGTGTTCCCACCATTTTCACCCTCTTACACAATCCACCAATAGGAAGAAGTTATTTGGACACATAGAAGGTACACTACAGCATCAAAATGAACATACAGCGTGAGCATGTTGGACCCAAAGTTGTTTATTTTTCTCATGTCTGAACCTGTTGTTTGTGGTTGCACCACATCAGTCCCTGAAAAATACGTTCTAATCCTGGGCTTCTGGAAAAAAGAAACAAGCGTTCAGGACATCATATTTTGTAATGCATGTGCAGAGTAGACTGTCTGCATGTAATATTTTCAGGCCATTGGGTTGGTGTTTAATGCCAAAATTAGATTTTCAGTTATTAATCAAACAATATAGTTCAAAATCTCAAGCGGCTGACTCAATTAAATTGAAAGAATCTGTATCTTTCTGGGCAGCACGGTGGCAAAACTGGTAGAGCTGCTGCCTCTCAGCGAGCAGGGCCCCGGTTGAAATCCCGGTCAAGGATGCTTTCTTGGTGGAGTTTGCATGTTCTCTCCATGCATGCGTGGGTTTTCTCTGGGTACTCTGGTTTCCTCCCACAGATCAAAAACATGCATGTTAGGCTGATTGGTAACTCTAAATTGTCTCTAGGCGTGAGTGAGAGAGTGAATGGTTTGTCTCGTTTGTCTCTATGTGTCCCTGTGATGGACCGGAGAGTTGTCCAGGGTGTACCCCGCCCCTCACTCAGTGACTGCTGGACATGGGCACTGGCGACCCCCATGACCCAAAATGGAAGAAGCGCGTTAAAGATAATGGATGGATGGATGTATCTTTCCATACCTTTGAAAGGCAGCTGAGGCGAGCTGGTCTGGGAAGCTCAGTCCTCACCTCCTTCTACAGGTGTGCAGTGGAGAGCATCCTGTGCTCCAGCATCAACGTGTGGCATGGAGGCTGCACAGCTACAGAAAGCAAAGCTTTGCAGAGAGTGGTGAAGGCTGCACAGAAGTCTGTTGGAGTCAGCCTCCCCACCATCACAGACATTTACATCTCCAGATGCAGGAAGAGGGCTACCTGCATCATGTAGGACCCCACTCACCCAGCACACACCCCTTGCCCCGCTCCCCTCAGGCAGGAGGTTAAGCAGCATTAAGTGTAGAACCACTAGACTGAGGAACAGCTTCTACCCTGAGGCTGTTAGACTCATGAATCTCCAATCAGAATAATCACTGTGAAAAAAAATCTTTGTGGTGCCACTTTGATTGTTGATATGTGCTGCTGACTATCCATGCTGCTGATCTTATGCTGCTGATTTATGTCAAGCTGCTCCGTTCATTTGTACTCATCTACTCACACAGACTCGTGTTCATGCTGCTGTTGTTTGGCTTAATGTTTTTGTACTATTTGTGCTTAGTGTATTCTTAGTTTTAGCGTTTTTCTTAGTTCATATCTTAGATCTTATTACTGTTTTTCTTTACAATTTATACTTTTGTTGGATGTAACTGGGACCCTTGAACACAATTTCGTTCCACCACATGTACCACCTGTGATGAGAATGACAATAAAGGACCTTGACTTGACTTGAAGAATAGTTTAATGTTTCAAGATGTTAGGATTAGGACGAACTGAATCCATGTTACAGCTACTACAAAATGTTTCCATCGCTGTCCTTGCTGGTCATATTCAGCCAGCTGCAAGCCTTCCCCAGAGCCATACATCCTTCATCTACAGATCCACCAGTGATATGTTATACTGATACTCTGCAACGTTCTCTCCTTCCTATCAGAGGAAAACCAATAAAGAAACATTTTTCTGTGACTTCACAAGATTACATCATTGTGAGCCTGTCTTTCTGTCTGTAGGTTGAGAACATTTTGCTATCACAACATAACATACCATTAAAACTAATTCATTATATTTTTTTTATTTGAAAGTAAACTAAAAGTAAAGGACAATAAAAAAAACAATACAAAAAAAAAACCCTAGAATTTAACACCGACCTTGAATACCAAAAGTAGCTATGAATGTATTTGGGACATGGTACCTGATTTTATTATTATTATTATTATTATTATTATTATTATTATTATTAATAATAATACTAATATGATGATAATGATGATAATGATGATGATGATGATGGCAGCACGGTGGCGCAACTGGTAGAGCTGCTGCCTCTGAGCGAGCAGGTCCCTGGTTCAAACCCCGGTCCAGGGGCCTTTCTGGGTGGAGTTTGCATGTTCTCTCCGTGCATGCGTGGGTTTTCTCCGGGTACTCTGGTTTCCTCCCACAGACCAAAAACATGCATGTTAGTCTGATTGGTAACTCTAAATTGTCCCTAGGTGTGAGTGGGAGAGTGGATAGTTGTTTGTCTCGTTTGTCTCTATGTGTCCCTGTGATGAACAGTCCAGGGTGTACCCCGCCCCTCGCACAGTGATTGCTGGACATAGGAACCGGCGACCCCCGTGACCCAAAATGGAATAAGCGGGTAAAGATAATGAATGGATGGATGGATGATGATGATGATGATGATGATAATAATAACCTTTATTTAACCAGGCAAATCCCATAGTGATCACATATCTCATTTGCAAGTGAGGTCTGGTCCTTATGGATGCACATTAGCTGTAAAACAGTCAGTGGCTGAATGACCTCTTTATGTTGTGCAGAAGCCTGGTACTCAGCCACGGATTTAATAACAACAATCAGAGAAATGATTCCCTCAGAGCTCTTTAAACCTCAGAACAAATGGATACCCTCTCAAACGCAGACACGTGAAGGTCAACATGGCTTTAGTTCGACATTTGAATTTCTCAAAGGCACACATAACCCCATACCACTTAGTCACGCCCCACCCAGGGTGTCTGCACAGTTCCGGGCCCTGGGGCAATTAGCAATAATGGCAGGAAGCTAGTTAGCGTTATCTGCTGCCGTGGCGGTCTCCTCTGGCATTGACAGAGTCTGGACCGGTCACGTAGAGACGGAGACAGGGAGCCTGGACGGGAGGAAGAGGACGATGGGAGACCATCCCCAAAGCCCTCAGGCAAATGCCCTGAGAGAACATCTGTGTTACACATCTGCTGGGCTCCCTCTGAAACTACAAACTAGACTTGATAGAACAGTGTTTGTTTAGTGTCCAATAAAAAAAAACTGAATTACATTATATTTATAATTTAAAACTGGAAATAACCTATTTTGAATATATTTTGATGGCAAAGTTGATTAAACATTAAGCATCACGTGTGTCTAACGTTGCTCCTTGTGTGTCCTGGATAACCGTAGACAAATCTTTTCATTGTTTCAGCGGCACGTGTCACTTCCTGTCTGCATGATACTGAGCACATGTCCAGGCCGGGCGTGTTTTGGGGGAGGACAGGGATGACTGTGGGAGTAGGCTGAAAACGTAACAGGATGTGAAGAATGAGGCCAAGAAAAAAGAGAAAAAAGCACAATAAACAACTGAAATCCCTGAATGAGAGTAAGACACAACAACAGTCACGTAGGTTTCACCAGCTTCAGGTCACACCGTCAGACTGGCAGACGCTCAGAGCTGACACTATTTGAACC